AAGAGCAGTGCTTGTCTGTCATGTTGGCTGCAGTGAGAAAAGCCTGGGAGGAAGGCAGCAGAATTACTGAAACAGGAAATAAAAAGGCCTTAAAATGCAGCCTGGAGAAAGTGTGTGTGCTCTCAGTGCATTTTTCTCATCTGAATTTCAAGTGCCCCTTCTCCCCAAGGGTGCTGCTGTCAGGTGGGGTGAGAGCCAGAGGTGCAGGGCTTGCACTCAGGATAGAACAAATTCTTCACCAGAGCCTGCCAGGGGGGAGTGAGGGAAGGTCCTTGCAGGGTGCCTGCAGGGACAGCTGCCAAATGCCCTGCTCCCCTCAGGTGACACAGTTTAGTCTGTTTTGAGTATTATTCTTCTAAGCTTCCTAATTCTGGAAATCCTCCAAACCCAAGTCTTGAGCTGCTGCTGGGGATTTGGGGTCTGGCTGTCCCTTGTGAAGATCCACAGCTGTAACCCAATTTACAAAGGCTAAAGAACGAGCAAGGCTCTGTTTGCAAGGGAAGGTGAGATCAGCACAAAAACCTCTGTAGGCTTCTGTACAAGCACAAACTCTTTTTTTTTCCCCATGAATTCAGAACTCCAACTACGAGAGCATCCAGCAGACTGCACGGAGCATTGCTGAGCAAGCCCACGAGCTGGCCTACGACCCCACGTACATGTCACCCTTTGCACAGTTTGCCTGTGACAATGGATTGAATGTCAGAGGTAAGAGCTTCTCCTCCTCCCACTGCTGTCCTGGGGAGATCTTTAGCAAAGTGCAGTTCTGCTGCTCCAGAATCCTGTAGGAAAACAGAGCAGTAGGAATGAGGTTGGCAGAGGAGCACCAAGCTGGTGTGGGATTTGCAAAGCCCCCAGGGCTGCACAGGCCATCCTGGGCCTGGCAGAGCAGGAGCCTCCTGTGGGGAAGCAGCTGGGGCACAGAGAACACAGCACCCTGATGGTTTGTTTTTACTGTGATTGTGCATTCCTGCCCCAGCAATCCTGCCTGAGATGAGCTCTCCAGTTCTCCTGTTCATGACTTGGTGTGTGGGTGGTGTTGTGTGAGGGCAGTTTTTTGTTTTGGGGTTTTTTAAGGTCTCTTCTTACTGCTGTGTTTCAGCTGTTTTCTGCCCACTCTTTGGTACATTTGGGATTGGTTTTTTGGTTGAAATTTCGAACCCTTGTATAATTGGCATCCCCATAGTGATCTCTCTGGTTCTACTTCTGTGTTTTAGAAAGGTACTGGCAAAACAGCTGGCAGAGCTCAGAGCCCAAGCAAACATGTTTCTTCTAACAATTTTTAACTTTTATATAAATAAATTAAATTCTGCCAATAAAATTGTTTTCATCTCTGTCTCAGAAGAGCAGGATTTCCTACAAGAACCTTAAGCCCCTTTCCTCAGGTAGCAGCTGTCACACCTGGGCTCTGTGTTGCTCCAAGCTCAGGCACTCAGTAGTGAGGCTGCAGATCTCCAGAGTCCAAGGGATTGGTTTGACTTCCCACAAGGCAAAACCTCTCTTCTGGGCCATTTCTCCAGGATTTGAGTGTGATGCTCTGGCTGTTAGAGGATTGAAAAATAGGTATTGAAAATGTTAAGTAGCTTTTAGGAAGAGCTGAGGTAATGCAGTGCTGGAGAAGATGCTAAAGAGGTGTTTGATTTACAATGGAAATTCCTGAGGAGATCTGATTTCATGGCAGTTTACATGTAACAAAGCAGTGTCAGGTGTTTTGTGCATTTATTAAAGAGTCTGCTGGAAACAGGCTTTGAGCTCTGCCAGCTACCAGCAGTGTTCAAGGTTCTGACCTCCTTTTCATAGTTTGATCTCACTGGAGCTTAAAAGGAGAGTGGTTTTGTTCAATGTCACTGCGCCCCTCGGTTTGGAAAGGAGGTGGGGGAGGCAGAGTTTGTGTCTACTCAAACCAGGTTTTGGACACTTAAACCAGTTTTTAAAGAGCTTTCCTTGGGGAATGTCCCAGACCATCAGCAGACACCCCCCTGTGGTTTGATGCAATAAGAGGCTTTTGCTTCCATTGCAGGGGGGAAACCAGACGACATCACCGTCCTGCTGTCCATCGTGGCCGAGTACACAGACTGAGGTGCTGCTGCTGCCCGAGCTCCCCGAGCTCCCCGGGCCGCTTTCCTGCGGGCAGGATTGTTCCTTCCTTCCTCCCCAGCTGCTCCTGAGCCCGGAGCCTGGCCCCACATGCAGCTGAGGCCCTTGCTAAGAACCACTCGTAGTCCACTGGTCTTGGTCTGCCAGCAAGAGATAAAGAAGCTCAAGGCTTGGAGCTTGTCTTTGAGAGCTTAGTTCTTGTGTGGAACAGGGGAGGATCCATCCCACAGCGTTGCTGCGTTGGAGATGTGACTTTGCAAGGAGTGGGATTGGTTGGGCACCTTTCACACTAGCTCAGTCGGTAACGCCTCTGCACGAGGGCACATTACTCTCTTTCCTAGGAACGTTCTCTGTTGTTGAGGGTGTGTTACAGACCCAGTTCCATAAAGCATTGTCTTGTTCCAGTGATAGCTGAGGTTTCGTGTTTCTGAGCTCCGGTTTTCAGGAGATTTATAACTGCTGTAAACATTCTGCTCTTGCCATCCATGGTGTCAGCCTTAGGAGCCTTTTCTAGTACGAGATTTCAAACAAACCTAGTTCAAGTTATATGGATGCAAATGTGTTTTGTGATTTCAGGTGCTTAACTGTGATCTTAAAAGTTCTGCAGATCATTCGTCCATAATGGGCCTGGTTCTGGATGTTTTGGCTGTGGATAATTATTATTTTTTTTAAACAAAACTTCTAGCTCAGTCTCAAGCAGCCGAGCTGGCCACAGTTGAGGTCTTTCAGCATTTGAGCCCATCTCAGCGTGGGATGATGGTAAATGCTGCGGTGGGAGGTTGCACAAAACAGCTCAGCCTCAACTCCGAGCGTCTTCACTTGGGGTAGATGATTCTGTTGTTGATATCAAACATAATTTGTGTTAATAATTGCCACTCTCGCTTGTAGAACAGAATATGCTGCACCAGTTTAAGCCCAGTTGATCCTTTCTGACTCCAGCAGGCACCTCCTTGCTTCTGCTGCGGCGGCGGCAGCGAGTACAAAAATGGAAACTTAATGAATAATCAGCAAAGCCTACATTTCATTTGAACTAAAGTTTAGGGGTTTCAATGATCCTTAATGATGTTTACAGTTATCTAACAGCCACTTTGCAATATGACATTTCCTTTGCAATGACAGTAGCTCACGTTTGTCCCCCCTTTTCCAGCCAGCTTTCCTTTTCCTTTCCTGAGGCTCATACGAAAGCTGAGAGCTGTAAAGATATATATATTTTTGGTCAGTTTTTCATTAACTTTTTTGCTGGTAGAGAAGTATGTAGAAATAAATTAAAGCCATGTTTTTATATATAAAAAGTCGGGTAATGTTGCTGTTTAGGTGAGTGCAGTTAAACTTGGTCAGTAAGGAATCTTGCCTGCTCTCAAGAGGAGATTTTTACTACCTGGTTTATTGTATTAAAACTGTTTAAGTTTGAGGTTACCTCAACTTGTTTAAAGAATTTTTGTGGACTTGTACTGTATATTTGCGTAACTATGTCAAGCTTTTATTTAAGGTCATTTAACATGTACCATGTACATGTCATTTTACTATATTTCAGTGCATCATGCTTGTAACAGGCATTTCATTTATAATAAGTGATTAATTTGGGAGCTCTTCAGTAATTTATCTGCTATTCCTCAATTGGCATAATGTTAGATATCTACTTTAAATCACCTTGTAATTACTCGTCAAAATGCCTTAACTACCCTAACTTGACCAAAATAGGATTTTGGTGAGGGTATGGGGAGGATTATATTAATGAAGAAAAATTAATTAGTTTTGCGACACACGAACAGTGAGTGGTGGAGAACTTTGCACAACCTGTCAGTCCTTGTTGTTTTTAACCTGAACAAGCTGTCTCTGGCTGTCTTGGAGGAATGTATTCACATGCAGAACAGGGCTTTGTTTCTCGTTTGGGAGGGGCCTTTCCCTCCCACTCTGGCTGTCTTTACATTTATCCAGTATTTACTGCACGCTTCTGGATTAGAGCAGATTTGATCAATTCTTCTTTTCCTTTGCCCCCCGGCCCCGGGCTGTTCTCTGCTCTCAGCACAGTCCCCAGCCCTCCCTTTCCCCTTCCCGGCTTTCCAGAGCTTTCCCCGGGGACGTGTGCGGGGCAGAGGGTCTGGAATCCCCCAGTTCCTCCCTGTCTGTGTCCGTTTGCCTCATATCACACCATGACCTGTTGGGTTTTTTTAAATAAAGAACAAATTTGGGTTTTGATTTACAAATCATGAGTTTTTCCCTCACCGGGCACACCAAAGACCAGTAAAGCTTTTAGCTTTTCCATCTGTTTATAAAGCAATACTGTATTATAAAGAATTGATATTTTTATCACATGCTTGATTGTTTTGGGTTTTTTTTAAGACGTGCACTCTGAACATATCAAACCTGATTTTTTCCTATGAACTTAACGCTGTCTGCGCACAACTGATCTTTGGAGAAGGAAAGGACAGGGCCCATCCTATCAAAAATAATTCCCAGCGATGCATGAAGCAGGAACACGTGCTAGGGTTAGGTCAGTGGGAATGTTCACGAGAGGAATGTACAGGAGAGGTGTTTGCTGAGCCTTGGAGCTGCTGCAGAGGTTGTGGTTTGTGTTGGGAGCAGGGGCCTGGAGGAACGGGAGGAACCCGGGATCAATGGGGATTTAACCCCCCAGGAACCCGGGATCGCTGCAGCAGCGGCCGCAGGGCTGGGTGGAATGTGGTGAATTGGAGAAGCTCTGTGGTTTTTGCTGTTTTCCTGGCTATCTTTGGGAGAGCTGCCACATACAGTCCTAAATGTCCTTGTCAGGCTGAAAACAAAACCAAACCAAAAACCAGATTTGGGACCAGGCAGTTAAAAGTGAGTCAAGAAGGGAGGGGTGATGATCTGGCAGGGATGGGAGGATTTGGTGATGGAATTTCCATCCTTTCTCCAGAGGAGGAGCAGCTGCTGTGTGGAGAACCCGACTGTATGCAGTAGTTTCTGACAAAGATAGCTGAAACAATGAAGCAAATCTGAGTCTGTATCTGAGGATGCTTTTTTGTTGCTGTTAAAATGAGACTATCACCTATGCTTACCCAAGAGGCAATTATGTGAATTTCATGTCTGAGGTATAACTTATGCAGGAATAGTTCTGTAAATACATTTAAATAAATTGTAAAGATATTTAATAAATATAGTATTTATACTAAAATGTGCTTTTTAAAGTCAAGTTGCCTGCAAACCCTGTGTTTGTCGATGTGGGGATGTGTTGGTGGCACAGAGGCACAGCCAGGGCTGGGCTGTCACTGTGACCTCCCTGCCCTGCTCAGCCACCCCTGGGTGACACCCAACGCCTTCTGCAGCAGCCTGGCAGGCAGATAAGGATCCTTTAATTGCCTGGGAAGTTCAGGGTTGTGTTCCAGTGTGACTCTGGAAACGCTGCACTGCCCCTGATGTGTGCTGGGAGAGATACAGGGAAAGAAAAAAATAACACAAGTCTCAAACACAAACCTTTATTTTTTAAACACAGTCCTGTGACAACTTTGGTTTTGCAGTTCAAGGCTGGTTCTAGAGAACCTGTAAAAACCTGAGTTCTCCCTTAACCAGAACAGCAGCTTCACGTGCCTGATGTGGTAACAGAGCTTGGATTCAAACTGAGCCTCTCCCCAGTGAGAGTGCTCTGAGGGCAGAGCCCCCTGCAGAACTCACAAACCTCAACGGAGCCAATCGTGACCTAAATTTACAAGAGCACTGAGAGTTCCAGAACATTCTGTGCTGCTGGGTCACAGCACCAGTGACAAAGGCTGGGCCTGCCCTGCCCTTCCCTCCTGGCTGCTCCCCACTGTCTGTCCTTGCACTACAGAACTGGGGAGCTCTGCAAGGCACCCAGCTCCTCCTCACTGTCACTGGCTGTCACCAGGCTCTGGAAGGTGTCACCAGTGGCCTTATCCTTGTGAGAGACAGCTCCAAAGAACAAGGAGTGGAACTGGAAAATGCAATATTTGTACAGGTAAGAATTCTGTGATACAGAATTTGGGCATTAATTATTTGTGAAGCTTTTGCCACTCCAAGATCTTTCCCAGTGAAACCCCCCTGTCTCCCGGGGGTGTTCCCAGCTGTGCTGGGGTTTTCCAGCTGTGCTGCTGTGACTCTGATCCCCCTGAACCCCCCAGCGCACGTGGGGTGCTCAGCCCAGCAGCAGCTGTGGGGTTCCAGTGCTGGCACCGTGGGGAGCTCCCTCACCTGGGCCTGAGGAGCCTCTGTGGCCTCTCCTGCTGCTGCTCTGCCTGGCTCATCCCTCTCGCTGCCTCTGGGAGTGTTTTTTACCTCTTGTTTTGCCAGAGCACTCGGGGGTTTTGCAGGGTCCGTGCTTGGAGTGTTTCCCTTCTGCTGTGGCTTTTTGGAAGTGGCTGTGACTGCATTGCTGGCTCCATCCGTGGAGCTCTGGTCAGATTTATCCATGCCAGGCCTTGAGCTGGATTGGACAGAGCAGAGCAGGTTAGAGCTGGCTTTGTGTTAAATGGAATATCCTGATTTTCTGTTTGGGGAAAATTGCAGCTTTAGAGGGGATTCTCAGCAGGTTCCCTCCTGCTGCACCCAGACCCTGAGGAGATGAGAAAGCAGCAGCTTGGACAGAATGTTCTCTCTGCACCCCCTTATTGTTGTTGTGATATTCCTGAACCCTTCAGTTCAGTTTTCCTGTGAAAAGCTGAGTTTTTCTCCCCCTTAAGGCCACGAGTCCCCTCAGCCCCCGTTACCTGTCCCGGGGCCGTGGGCAGCAGGCGGGCTCTGGGGAAGCTGCCTCCCTCTCAGCCTCACACAGGGTAGCCAGGATAAAGCTGGCCTCCAGCAGCAGGTCCTCAATGCTGAAAGCAACGGGTCTGAACACAAGGAGTGAGAGCAAACAGCACAGGGAATTACAGACACTGATTCCACCCATGGAATTAAAAAGCTGAAAATGTCCTGTGTTTGCTGCTGAGGAATGAGAGAGGCTCCTGTAACAGATCTCACTGCTCCAATCAGCAAATGCTGTGCAGTGTCAGAGTCAAATGATAACATTAAATATGTAATTATTTAAATTATATTTATTCAGAAAATGTATTGTTTCTTTAAAGTGCTAAATAAATAAATCATTGCCTGCAGGGGACTGGGAGCCTCAGGTGTCCAGGTAATTTATACACAGGAGCTCCTCAGTCAGCACAGCTGCCTTGGCAGTGCCCATGCCTGGGTTCAGTGTTTATATGGAATTACAAACTGGAGTGCAGGTTAGAAATGGCTTTGGGTTTGAGATGAACCTGCAGTTCAGTGTTTATGTGGAATTACAAACTCTGGAGGGCAGGTTAGAAATGGCTTTGGGTTTGAGATGAGGAGCTGCAGTTCAGTGTTTATGTGGAATTACAAACTCTGCAGTGCAGGTCAGAAATGGCTCTGGGTTTGAGATGTTTGAGGAGCTGCAGTTCAGTGTTTATGTGGAATTACAAACTCTGCAGTGCAGGTCAGAATGGCTCTGGGTTTAAGATGTTTGAGATGAAGCTGCAGTTCAGTGTTTGTATGGAATTACAGACTCTGCAGTGCAGGTCAGAACGGCTCTGGGTTTGAGAAGTTTGGGTTCAGTGCTCACTGGTGCCTGCAGGGCCCAGCAGGGCAGTACCTGCCGCTCCTGTCGAAGTGCACGCACACAGGGACGCTCGTGGCTTCAGAGAACGCCAGCAGCCCCTGCAGAGAAGGGTGGGGTGAAGGGAGAGTTAAACCAGAACACTGATACTGGAATGGAAGTTTATCCAGCTGCTGTTTACTGGCAAAAAGAGGGAAATTCTGCTGCTTCTAAGAATGGGTTCTGTCCTTCCCTGCCAGAGCTTTGCCACAGGAGGTTCTGCACAGAGAACTCCCCTGGTCACGATGCTTTCCCTTGCCCAGCACAGAAACCTCATCTCTCTTTCAGAAGTTTTGTTTGCCTTTCAGAGGACCCTGGGGTTTAAAGCTGATCCTCACCCAGGTGGTGAAACCCTGCTGCAGTCAGGGCTGGTGGGGCACAGGGACCATCCCTTGTCCTGGTCCACTCAGGCAAATTATTGGGAAATGGGTTTTCTTCCTAGAGAAATTCTTACTTTACCCTCAGTTCTTTAAGGCAAAATGTCACTTCAGAATCTACTCCAACTTGAAAGTAGTCAAATTCCTCTGGACTGAGCTGTATCTCAGTAAGCATTGTCCTTGAAAAGTCTGTTTGAGATAACAACAAAGTCAGGGACTCACAGCAGTGAAGTTTGAACTCAGCAAAGCTGTGATTGTAACCCTGAGGTTTTACATAAGCATTGTTTGAACAAATAATTGTGTTTATATAGTGGCTAATATTAATAAATGTTTAGCTTATATGCATATTAGAATTAAGTAAAATCCTCAATTTATTTGCAGTACACTGGATAGATTTGAATGGATTTTCACAGAACCTACTCCATGTTCTCTGTGTGATCCAACCTTACACCTGCTGCTGTTCTTGCAGACCTGCTCCTTCCACAGGCACCCATCACAAACAACATTCCCAGCTGCTCTTGTTGCATGGATGGGAAGCCCAAAGCCCAGCATGACTTGAAGAGATTAATCAAAATTACTGACAATCAGCAGAGCACAATGGAGGGGGACAGAGGCTCTTTGTTTTAAATCACAATCTTTTCCTGACACAGGAAATTGGCTGTTCACTTTCAGGTATTCAGGTTTTTGTTACCACGAGGTGACTCCTGGGTGTGTGAGGAGAAAGTGAGAGGGGCAAATTCCTGGTGTGTGACAGTTCTGGAGAGCTCAGAGCAATCCCACAGCAGGAAGTGCTCCAGGCTGTTCCCACTCTTCCCCTTCTCTCTCTCCGTTTGATCTCGCAGAGCTCAGTCAGGCCCTTGCAGAGGCTCCCTGTGCCTGTGCAGGGTTTGGTTGCTGTGCATCCCCCAGGCCACGGAGGTGCTGCAGGCAGGGAGAGTCCCAGCACCTCCCACTGCCCTCCCTCCCTGGGCTCTTGGGATCTCTTCACACCTGTACCATTTCTTCCCTTCCTTTCTTACAATAGTCCTGGTAAGTGAATGTTTCTAAAATCACCAGATGTGTCATTCAAAATGCAATTTCTTTGTTTGCCCTGTTTCACCCCAGCCAGTTCCTGCCCCTTGATCCTTCTCTGAGCCTGTTCCCAGCCCTGAGCTCTTCCCAGGTCACTCCCCCAGCTTTGGTCACAAATATGAAAATCCTCTCTTTATTACATGATACACAAGGACCTCTACTTCCAAACCACAATTTCATCTTCAAAACTGGAGTCACCCCCCAAAAATCTCCAGCTCCTTCTCCCCCTCCTGGAGATGTGACCATGGCATTGCAGTGCAGGGCTTGCTGACACTCTGTGCTGTCCTCAGACTGAAATATCCTCTCTAATGATATCAATTCTATAATTGTGGTATTCAGATTTAAATAGTTCTTTTTAAAACATGAAATTATCCCCTTTTTCCTGGCAGTTGCCAGGCTGCTGCTCTTGCAGCACAGTAATTACCTCTTTCAAAGCCTACAGCAAGTGGCATAATTTATTTCAATTGGCTGCTCAGTCTGAGATCTGCCACTGACACCAGGAAGATGTTTCAATTTATTTAAATTGATTTAATTTATTAAAACCAGAGGGTGGCAGCAGGACTTAAAATCTCTCTCTATAATGTTCTGTTTAAAATGTCATTCAGCCATAAAATTCATCCCACATTTATGTCGTGACAGTTATTATTCTTGGAGCTCACCTCAAAAAAAAAAAGTTAAAATCCCAAGTATTGGTTCAGATTTTGAATTTCCTTACCAGTGTCTTCCTCAGTGTAACTCTTGAAAGAAACTTTCATTGGAGTTACTGACAGGGTTATTTCTTCCTGACTGCTTGGGAAGTGGATCATCACATCAGCCAGCAGCCTATAAAATGTCATTCAACACTGAAATCATTCCATCTATGACTTTTTAGCATTTGGTACATTAGAAAGTAAAACTCAAAAAAATATTTCTGTGTTTGTTACCTGGAGTGGACTTTAAGAATGTTTGGACACATGTGCTTTGCAAAAACAGCCTGCAAGGGATCACACTCCTGAAATGTCAGGTTGTAGGTTTTTACAACACCTGAGTATGAAGGAAATGAACAAAAATCAGTGCTTGGCTGTAATTTTAGTTGTTTTTTTTAAAGTATTAATTGTTCAATGGAAGAAGTAACCAAGTGACTTAGCCCAGCTCTATGGAAATAACTCACCACAAACAGGAAAGGATCCACCTGCCACCCTACACTCCCTCCATCCCATTGGCTGTGCCTGGACAGAATCTGAGTTTTTAAAGGATCCACAAGAAATAAACCAACAAATGCAGGGTGGGAAACAGCCCCAGTAATGAAGTGGTAACTGACAGAAATGGGGGTGGGATGCAGAACTCACACCCTGCAGGTGGCTGGGCAGGGTGTGCTGAGGGCTCAGCTCTCTGCACACAGAATTCAGTGCATTCCCCATACCAGGGACCCCACTGGGTTACTGACACACAAACCCTGCCTGAGCACAGCACAGCCCTGTGGGAGATGAGGATTATTCAGAATTCTGCAAAGGCTCACAAACACCCCCAGTGCTGCTGGGCTGAGGGCAGAGCTGTGATGATGATGATGATGATGATGATGATGATGATGATGATGATGATGATGATGGCATTAACTGTGGTTTGTGTGAGCTCACCGTGCCTGCAGAGCAGCTGGAAGGTGATGTGCTGCTCACTGGGGCTGCTGCAGATGCTGCATTTCTCTACATTCCTCTCCAGCACATTGACACATCTAAACACAGGGAGAACTGACTGAAAAACAAAAATGAGATCAGTGCAGAGGTTACCCTCTGAGCAGCTTTGCAAGAAACAGAATTTCCTTGGGTTTGTACCCTGGTTTATCCCAAGCTGCTCTGGGAGAGCCCAGGCTGATCCTCACCCACCACAATTCCAGCTGGAAATTGGGTTAATTTGCTGCTGTGTGTAACAACTCACTCAAATGTACCTTAATTATCAATTTACAGGGGAGGGAAAGCTGCTTCTCCTTCTGACAGGGCTGGGTCCCAGCTGTCCAGCAGTAATGCTGGAAAAACATGGATGAGAAGAACACACAGGCATATGCTGACCTCGAGGAATTCACTGATCTTAAGGCAAGCTGCAAATGGAATCACAGAGTCATTAGGGCTGGAAATGGAATCACAGAGTCATTAGGGCTGCAAATGGAATCACAGGGTCATTAGGGCTGGAAAAGGAATCAGAGAGTTATCAGGGCTGGAAAAGAACTCCAGCATCACTGACTCCAACCACTGAGGGAACAGGAGTAAAATAATTTATTAACTCAAAACGTGAACTTTTTAAAAAGAGCTTCCTCTGGGCTTCAGTGCCAAAACCTGGAAATTTACATCTCAAAATTATTTTTACAAATTTAAAATATGTGGGTTTTATTTGATTTTAATTTTTTAAAATAAAAATAATTGAGTTACCCAAAGACACAGAGCTCAGCTTGTGTTTGAGGCATTTGAAGGACATGATCCATACAAAGACACCTCAAAAATCCCCCAGGTATAAAACCAAATATCTCCACTTGTGATTTTCCATCCTCCCAGTGAGCCAAGGAGAGCTGATCACTTTTACCTAAGGAACCTCTGGAGAAAACACTAATTCTGCTGGAAATGGTGTTTGATTAATCAGAAGCGTTAATGGATGTGTTCTTCCTGTTGAGTCACAACAGTACAAAACGTTGTTTTCACTCCTGTGTGGTACAAAACCCAAACCTTGTGACCTGTGACAACAGAACTGAACCCCCTGGCATTAATCCAGATATCCTGGACAGCAAAAAATCAAAGGATCTTAGGGCAGACTAGGAATGAAATCTTCCACAATAATTAAAATCACAGAAAACATGGCATGGATCCATATTGAAAGTGGAGGGAGCTGAGAATGTGATGGACTGAAAGGTACCTGTGGAAAAACACAATATCCAATTGTATAAATATCTGGCTTATAATAAAGATTTTTAATTTAGAAGAAATAAAATTCACTTACACCTTTTTCTAGGGGGTCAAACCAAAATTCATCACTAATCCGTGCTATGGCATGTATTGCTCTTCCAAACACTGCCAGGGAAAGAAAACACTGCAATACGCATTCCAAATTAAAATAAAAAGATAAAAAGGTGGCACTGCACTTTCTCCAGAATAATCCAAGAGGAAGCATTACAAATTTCTTAGAAAATGGATGGTGGAAACTGTTATTTTTTCTATTTAATTAAAATTTTAATTATCCAAACCCTCAATGTTTTGGAAAGCTGCCTCTGATGAGGCACCTTGGACGTTCCTTTGCAGTGCCTGGAATTACCACAAATTTCGGACGATCCTTTGCAACCCCTGGAGTAACCACAAATTAGGTCAAAGAGACAAAACTCCACCGGGGCTAGAAATGACATTTAGCAGGGGAAAGCCTGAGAGGCAAAGGGACATGAGGAGAGATGGAATCCGGAGAACACAGCGGAGCCCAGCAGAGGCCCTGCGGCAGCGGCAGAGCAGCTTTTCCCACAGAATGGAGCGGAGCTGTGTCCCTGGAGGTGCACAGAGGCCACGGAGCCAGGCTCTGGCGTGTCCCCCTGGCTGTCCCCAAATTCTGTCCATCCGAACAG